TGCTCGCGCTGCGTGGCGGGTTTTGACGCAGGAGAATGGCGTGTCGCGGCGGCTGTCACCCGCCCCGTGGGCTCAACGTCCCACACGGGCAACAAGTGATTCCACCTGGCACGCGTGGATGGCCCATTGCCTCCAGCCTCGGGCGTTGAGGGGTGTTCACAGCTCGCGGAGGGAGAGCGCGAGAAAATCGAGGCCGCTCTCGAGGCACGCGCAGGCCCGACTCTTCCTATCCAGAAGTCGGCGGCGGACCGGGCACCGCAGGTGGGCGGGGCAGGAGGGGGGTAAAAGAATGCTAAGATCCGGATAAATCGCTCCAGAGCGTCCCGGAGCGCTCTCTGAGCGTTCCGGAACGCTCTGGAGCGGCCGCGGCGCCCAATACATCCTCCAAACCCGCCGATTCTCAGAGATCCCGAGCAATCCCGATCCGATTTTCTCCCGATCTTCGCGTCGTTTTAGGGGGTCCAAGGAAGCCCCGAGGCCCCCTCCTGCCCCCCACTGGCGGCGCCCACGCGCGCCCATGGCCCGAGGCAACCTGGCGACCCGCTTCGGGTCGCGGAGGCTGATCCGCCGCCCCCAGCATCTATCACGCCCCCCCCCCCCCCGGATACGCAACCAGGGGGGCCCGGCGAAGAGGGGGGGGGGCGACGGGCAGCACGATGACTACCTTGATGAGAATATGAGCGCGGAAGATGCTTGCCACGAGATCGGATTCGCGAACCTGGAACGGTGGGACACTGCGAGCTGGGAACGCATCTTGCCCCGGGAGGCCCCCGCGACGGCCATGGCCCCCGACGGCGCGGTTGCAGCGGTCAGCCACGTCAAGGCGAAGGTATGTCTAGCCTGTCTAGCCCTGGAGCAGGCCCACGCGAGCCGGGATGGCACGCCGCCAGCTACGCGCCAGAGCGCCTCTGAGAGGTGTTCGCGGCGTCGGGCGGCCTCCTCTTCAGCGAAGGCTCGGCGCCTTCGCCGATCGCGCGGCGCGAGCGGCCCCAGGGGCGCCCAAGGTGGATCCTCGCAGGCCAATGGGGCGCGGCATGGCTGTCCATGGGAGACCAGGCGCCTCAGGGCCCTGCGACGGGCCGAGGCCCAGAGAGAGGGCGAGCTTGAAGCTCGAGTACGCCGAATCACAGAGCTCGCGCGGGCAGGTGAAATGCCCCGTGCTGCGGCGGCAGTCTGGCCGCAGGGTGGCGTGGCAGATGCAGCGGCAGCGGTCCGTAAGTTTCGCGTCGCACAGATGCCTGGCCCACCCCAGCCTGCCGCCGGGGGCCTCCCTCCAGGCGCCGGGGCAGCCCCGCGCACACCTGGCGGGAGAAGCCCCCCAGGGAGGGGGGCGTGGCCATCGCCCCCGCGGAAGGCGGCGAGGTCCGCCTCGCGCCTGGAGAGCGGCCAGGGAAGGGCCGCCGAGCTGCGCCGCCGAGTGGCCACACACTTGAAGAGCCAGTTTGGGCGCCACCCCAGGCGTGGTAGCGCGGGGCCAGGGGGCGGACGCCATGGGCACTGGGCCCCCCTCAAGACGGACGGGGAGGAAGCGGCAGCAGTTGCGGACGCGCTCGCTAGGCTCGCCACTGGCGACCTCCCCCAAGGAGCTCTCGCAGCGCTCGCGGCCGCCCGTCTCGCGGGCACCCCGAAGGCCACTCCTGGAGACGTGCGCGTCTTGGGCCGCGGGAATGTCACAAGGCGGATGGCGGGGCGCAGTGCGGCTAGGATCTTCCATGCTGACATGCGCGCAGCAGTGGGGGGCCAGCAGTTCGGCCTCGCCAAGGACGGGCGCGGTGCGTTGCACCGTCGTCTGCGCGCGATAGCCAACGCCCGACCCGGCCGATAGTTTGCGGCGTTGGACTTGGGGGATGCCTTCAGCAAGATCCCCGGGGAGTTAGTCAGGGAGTCGATCCGCGCCACGAACGGTCCCAGGCCTTCGCCCTCTAGCTGAGACCTGGCTGCAGGACTGCACCAACCACGCGGCGGGAGCGGGGCGCAACAAGCCCAGCTGCTCGCCCAGATCCGTGGGCCGGACCAGGGGTGCCTCATGAGCCCAGGCTTCTACGCGGTTGGCACCGCGGACGACTTGAGCCCGGGGAGGGCCTCAGCGCGGACCGTGGATCCGCGGGGGGGGCTGCTTGGCGCACCTGGATGACACGCACTTCGCGGGCTCGGCGGAAGCGGTATTTCACTGCCTAGAGGCGTGGAAGGCTCGCATCGAGACCAACGGCATGAAGTTGAAGATGTCCAAGACGCAGATCTGATCCCCAAATCCCCAAGCGGCACGACCGCCCCAGCGCATTCACTTCGGTCAGTACCGCGTAGACAAGCTCAAGGCGGCAGGCTCGACGCTGGCCTATGCTGATCATGACGTGGACGCAGACTGGCGGGGCGCCCCACTCACGGACTTCGCGACGCCGTCGCGCGGCCAGGCATTCCTAGACAAGCAGGACAGCTACTTTCGCGAGCTGCTCCTGCTCCACAGACATGGCCTGTCTGCCTTCGACGCTTTCCAGCTTTG